ATGACTAAGGCCTCCTTAGAATTAAACCTGGCAAGAGGGGTCAAGGACAGCAGAAAGAGCTTTTCAAGTACATGGCAGATAAAACTAACACCAGAGGCAATGTAGGCCCACTGATGAATGAGATGGGTGCCCTGGTGACAGAGGATACAGAGATGGCAGAGTTACTGAATGCCTTCTTTGTCTCTGTCTACTCTGCTGCAGGCAGTCCTGAAGAGCCCTGTACCCCTGAGACCTCAGATGAAGTCAGATCAACAGAGCGGTTTGCCTTAGTCGATGAGGAATGGGTTAGAGATCAGTTGAGCAATCTGGACATCCATAAATCCATGGGTCCAGATGGGATGCACCTGCGGGTGCTGAGGGAACTGGCGGAAGTCATTGCTAGACCACTCTCCATCATCTTTACCAAGTCTTGGGAAACGGGAGAGGTGCCTGAGGACTGGAGGAAAGCAAATGTCACTCCAGTCTTCAAAAAGGGCAAGAAGGAGGACCCGGGTAACTATAGACCGGTCAGCATCACCTCCATCCCTGGGAAAGTGATGGAACACCTTATCCTTGGTGCCATCTTAAGGCATATCAAGGATAAGAGGGTTATGAGGGGCAGTCAACATGGCTTCACCAAGGGGGAAATCATGTTTGACCAATCTCTTAGCCTTTTATGAGGCAATAACACGGCGGATGGATGATGGCAGAGCGGTGGATGTGGTCTACCTTGACTTCAGCAAAGCATTTGACAGTCTCCCACAGCATCCTCACGGCTAAATTGAGGAAGTGTGGACTGGATGATCAGGTAGTGAGGTGGACTGCGAACTGGCTGAAGGAGAGAAGCCAGAGAGTTGTAGTCTATGGGGCTGAGTCTAGTTGGAGGCCTGTAACTAGTGGAGTGCCTCGAGGGTCAGTACTGGGACCGGTATTATTTAATATATTCATCAACGATTTAGATGAGGGAATTGAGTGTACTATCAGCAAGTTTGCTGATGACACTAAGCTGGGAGGAGTGGCTGACACGCCAGAAGGCTGTGCTGCCATCCAGCGAGACCTGGACAGGCTGGAGAGTTGGGCAGGGAATAACTTGATGAAATATAACAAGGGAAAGTGTAGAGTCCTGCATCTGGGCAGGAACAACCCCAGGTTTCAGTACAGGTTGGGAAATGACCTGTTAGAGAGCAGTGTAGGGGAGAGGGACCTGGGGGTCCTAGTGGACGACAGGATGACCATGAGCCAACACTGTGCCCTTGTGGCCAAGAAGGCCAATGGCATCCTGGGGTGTATTAGAAGGGGGGTGGTTAGTAGGTCGAGAGAGGTCCTCCTTCCCCTCTACTCTGCCCTGGTGAGACCCCATCTGGAATATTGTGTCCAGTTCTGGGCCCCTCAGTTCAAGAAGGACAGGGAGCTGCTAGAGAGAGTCCAGCGCAGGGCAACCAAGATGATTAAGGGAGTGGAGCATCTCCCTTATGAGGAAAGACTGAGGGAGCTGGGTCTCTATAGTTTGGAGAAGAGGAGACTGAGGGGTGACCTTATAAGTGTATATAAATATATAAAGGGGGAGTGTCATGAGGATGGAGCCAGGCTCTACTCAGTGGCAAACAATGATAGGACAAGGGGTAATGGGTACAAACTGGAACACAAGAGGTTCCACTTAAACTTGAGAAGAAACTTCTTCTCAGTGAGGGTGACGGAACACTGGAACAGGCTGCCCAGGGAGGTTGTGGAGTCTCCTTCCCTGGAGACATTCAAAACTCGCCTGGACACATTCCTGTGTAACACTATCTAGGTGTTCCTGCTCTGGCAGGGGGATTGGACTAGATGATCTTTTGAGGTCCCTTCCAATCTCTAGCATACTGTGATACTGTGAAATAATGCCAGTATTGCTCCTGCTGTGATGCTGAATGCTCCATGCTGCCCAAACCGTATTACCTAAAATAACAATCACAATGACATATTCTACAACCCTCAGTTCTGAGACCGAGACTTGTTCATGCAGCCACAATTTCCCAGTGCTCAATCGCTACTATTTCAAAATATGACTTGAAGCTGTGTTCCAAGAAGACACTTTCAGTGCATAATCAATGTGTTGAACCCATACTGTCAAAATTAGATTTTTTTGGCAGCTGAAAGGTGAAACCTGATTTTGTTTCCTACCAGAATATCACAAGCGGGATATCTGGGATTATCTGTAATCCATGTGAAGTCTTCCAACACTTCCCTACTGCAGAACCAGCCACTTATAGGATTACTACAGATTGCTCTTCCTGATGGGTGGTCTGCCTTTTAACATGTTACCAGCTTGGTTTTAGATTATGTATATAGATTTGTTTTGGTTTTTTTCTGGACTCAGCATTTATGTGGCTTCATACAAGCTCACACCTACACTTTAAAGAAGGGACTGAATAACAAATGATGAAATAATACTACAATTTTCAATTTGTCTTTCACACCCATTGATATTCTTGCTTCTGATCTGTTGCCTTTTCTCTCCTCAACTTACATGTTTGTATCTTCATTTGCCCTTTAAAGAAACAACTTTTAAGTGCACAGATTTAAGTTCTCCTCCTCATACCAACCCCTTTCCTGCAGTAAACTCCCCACTGAGTTGCAAGAGGGCAGGCATGTACTGAGAAAGCTTTGCAAGTCTAATGGAATAGTTATGGGCTTTTGCAAGTGTAACTTATTCCACCTCCAATACCCACCCCCTACTTACCTGAAAGAGAAGAAAACGCTACTGCTAGGAGCTGCAGCTCCATTGCTGTGTCAGCCAGAGACCACACTCCTCAGAGCCTCGAGCAGCAGAGCAATGTGAGAGCTGATCCTGTAGACACAGTCATGCTTTCTCTTCATCAACCCTCCAAGTTCCTGCCATTTCCAGGAAATGACATCTTAGGCACGACATCCCTAACATCTTCTCATCTCATGACTTCTTCATTTAGTTGAACTGGTTCCGATTTGTCATTACCTCTGACCATGGCAGCACTTCTCACCAACATGCCTGTCTGGGTGACTACTGTACATAAGTAGATGGCATGCCTGCTTCTATGCAATTGAAAGCTGGACAAGTGTATACTTCTATATTTGCAACACAAAATAAAGAGACACTCATGGTGGCTGTTTGTTTCCCCTCTCTGCTAAGTACTCTTCATACACAGGTAAGAAGGCACCCTCTCTTGCTCAGAAGCGCTGCCAGTCCTGCAGGGTTAACTGCTTCTTCCCTGCTGCCACCGAAAAATACCCCATGGAACTGTTGACTGCTATGAGTCTGGCAAGTGCCTGCTGATGCATGATGTCTTGATATACTGCAGGCTGTGAACTGAGATTTTTGAGACAGAGCTTAGCCCAAAGGAAGCTGTCCAGCTTTGTGTAGAGTGGGTTCTAAAGCAAATGTACCTAATTGGTTTTGAACCAAGCTTCTACATGTGTTAGAACCAGTTTTGTTTCAAGAAATACTAGATGCTAAAGACTAAAAGTACAAGAAACACCAAAATAAATAGTCATTGTTCCTTCCCTAAGGAAGTTCTCGAAGAAAAGGTACTACTGTCCTGTGACCAAACCACAGTGGATGTCTTTTTTTCCTTCAGTCTCGTTTATTTAGTAGTTTACACACTTCAGAGTAACAAAAACTCAACCAATACAGTCAATGTCAAAAGTGACCACGGTCAGCATTGCATTGTAGTGTTCAGAAGGGATGCATGTGGATGATACAGGCCATTTGATCTCAGTACCTTAAAAACAACAAATAATAACAGCAATAAAAAAATTAGCAAGAGCCCTCCAAATACTTAAGGGTTTGGTCCAACTCTCATTGAAACCTTTCCCTCTAGTAGGAACTGGATCAGATGTTAAGCTAATTTCTCCCCCTGTGCAAATTTAACAGGGATATCATTTAATTTTTACCACTTTGGTTAAATTTCATCCAAACTTCTACCCTTGTGGGGCCCCAACACCCATCCTTTTTAAACTTAGCTGATGTATCTCTTTGTGCATTTCTTTCTATATTGCACCTTCCTCCAAATGAATCTCACAGCATCTTGCAAGCAATAATGAAGGACAGCCTCACACCGGTCCTGTGAGGTAAGTAGGTACTATTCCCATCTGTAAAATGGGAACAAAACTGAGGCCTAGTTGTCCAAGGCCAAAAAAACAAGTCACTGACAAAGCTGAGGGAGAGAAGTAAGTCCTACTGCTGGATTCACATAGGAATGCAGCAGCTACAGCAGTAAGAATTGCTGCATCTAACTAGTGAGTTTAAAGACCTTGGTGTCAGAAGTTAGCTGTGCAGCACCGAAGTGCTCTGGGCCAGCATACCTTACTGTGCTGTGAAACACACAAGCTCTCAGTGTTCCCACAGTGGAGCAGAATCTCAGTGGAAGCATTAGAGAACTTCATGCTGGACCTGTATGTGAACAAATACCCTTTTTATCATGCATCAGCTCTTCTGTGTTACATGCCTGTGCAAAGGCATGGTACTGACCCTCTGGTAAATACAAGCTTATTCAAAGGCAATGTACTCCACAGTGGAAGGAGGCCATACCGCTTCCTCACACCAGCAAGTGAGTGTGCACAGACAGGCACTTGGGGCCATCCAGTGTGAATCCAGGTACCCAACTCACCCAGTGGTAGTTTGCTCATGAGCTCATAGCCTCCAGTCCCTTAGAGCTCCAGTGCTCAGTTCCAGTCCCACACGTGCAGTTTGATAGTGAAAAGCTGCCTCCTTTTCTCCTTTCCCATAACAGCAGCAGCAGATTGTGGCTTCTTCTCTTCTAATCCCTTAGCAAGCCAAAGGGCCATTTCTAAACTAATTTGCTAGAACTATTTCTGGACCAGGGTCTGCTATAGCAGAAGTTTTCTTCCCCACTCCTGACCTGTTCAGCTACTGCAGAGGAATGGATCATTCTCCATGTTTCCCAAGATCACACACTGCAAACCATCAGCTGCTAGCAGCAGTTGGATGTTTTGAAGCTACTGGTACCCACACTTCTAGAATGACTGTCCAGTTCTAAAGGAGAAGTGTATCTCAAATTCTCAACTGACTCTTGAGCATCGATTTGTACCCTCCAAATCTCCCCTCTAGAAAATAAGTTACACTGGTGCAAAGAGTCACTTGTGTGGTAACAGAAGAAGTTTAATTCTTCTGAAACGAATTTAACTCTGAAGATCAATCAATCAGGCAAACCACTACTGAATGCTATCACCTGAACAGGCTCATTTCTAACTTTTCTAATGTCTTATTTTCATTACGGTAGGACTGCTGCAATTGCAGTCTCATAGAAAAGGCATTGGTACTAAAGTCCTCCCCTGGGAGGCCTAGTTACTTCCTGCTTAAGCACTGCTAACACGTTTACCTGTCAGCTGCAGGAAAGGAGGAAGACTTCAATTGTATGAAATTCACCACAGCTTAGTTTTTCATCTCATAGCAGTTCAAAACTTCAGAGGCTTCTGCAATGACAACGTCTGTGCTCTTTGTCATATGAAAAATGTGTAAATCCTCTGAAATATCTAAGTGGAAAATTCATTAACTTACTGTCATGAAAACAAAACTGAGAGGGACTCTGGGAGGCCAGAGAAGTCTGAATTTGCAGTGAACTGCAATGATTACCAGTTTCAAACAACTGCTGGGGTAGGATGAAATGTTTCCATGTCATTACTTCCTACAGAATACCCACTCTCTGCCGTTTAACTTTCAAGTCACAACTGAGCTTGAATTTTTAATACTGCTGTTTTGTTTAGAGGCGATGAAAAAGTCATTAAATATGACTGAAACCTTAGCACAGTAGTGTGTTATCTACAGGAACTCCCTTTAGAAATTATTGTAGGCTCTTAAATTCTAATTATAAACACTGTAGATACAGATTTCATTCCAGATCTGGACTCTACAGTCTATTTTTTTACTCATGATCACAATTAGTATTGAAATAGCCATTTCCCAAAGCATGGAGTCACCTTCATATATCCTAAAGTTCTCAGAATCTCTCCTGAGCAGAGGACCCCAGCAAAAGACAGCAGTTTCTGATCAGTGTGCATTACCAGCTGTTGAAAGGGGATTAAGAATCAAGTAATACAAGTTGTGTCCTCAGTTTGAAAACTGCACCATCATGTTATTAATGTTAAAACCTGGAATGCAAGTGAACATGTGACTACTGATAGTATTTTACTGCTAGCATTTAAAGAACTGTTTAAGTGATCAGAGGCAACCATCAGAGCAGGTATGTGAAGCCACTCAAAAAAAAAACAAACACTTTCTTGACTTTAATGCTGTGAATCTTCTGCGGTTGTGCTCAGGCCACAGCAAAAGAAGGATGAACCACAGATGGCTCCGCAGTTCCAGATGGGGACTAGGAGATGCGATACATTGACATTCCTTCCCCGAAACTGCCCTGAGTTAACAGCTGATACCTGGGAGGAAGGATGCCTGGGAATTCTCTCATCGTTAGTGTAGCACTGTGAATGCAGAAACACGATCGGTGTGCCAGTCTATACAATTAAGTGGCAGCATCACATTACATGGCTAAGAAGTCACATGCAGTAGGAGACAGTCAAACCACGATCTTAAAAGACCACATCGGTTGCTGGCTACCAGTGCATGCTTGTATGTGCACGGGTATAAGGGGTTTAGCTCTAGAAATAAACAAGCCTTGGAAAAAGCCCTTAGATCCCTGGGCTGTGTGTGAGAGCCACTACTGATTTTCAGAGCTGCAGTTCAGCTGCAAGAGGCCAAATCTGCCAAGCTAGGAACTTTTCAAACAGCTCACCCAGCCTCAAAGTCAAATGTTTGTGGAGACAATAGGCTGCTGTTCTCTCCCTAAAGTAGCTGTAATCTCCTGAGAGGCTACATAGAAAGCAAAGGCTGTTCCCGGGTCGAAGTGAATAGAGGCTAGGGTAGGGAGGAGGAGGAATAGACACAGAAGTCACATGCAGGCACTACAAACTGCTGTCTCCCTTTGCTCCAGGTTTCTTGTGATTATCACCCATTTCCACCTTGTGCACACTGTAACACAATGCAGAAGTTGTTGGTCCAACCTATAGTGTACACAGGAGAAAGGAGGCTTGGAATCAGAGGGAAAAAAACCAACCCCAACTCTTGCTGGTTTCAAAACTATGCAGTTCCCTGAAAAACTGTTATTCCTACCCTGAATCTCCAAGCACTTGCTCTGGTTCACTAAGAGGCAATCTGGAGTCCCATTGGTTTGCCAGAAAACAGACTCATTCTGGTTTACCATACAGACCTCTTGACTCATGCTGGAGTGATTCCTGAGCATGGAGATCTTCATTCTCTGAGGACCAGTCTGAAGTTAGGCTGGTGCAATGCAAACCAATCTGGAGTTATTCAGGTTCATAGAGGGCCGATGCAAAGTCATTTTGGTCACCAGCTGCTGGGTTCTGGAAGCAGCTCCCTCTGCACTGATGACCTCGGGAGTTTGAAGGGAGTTAAAGGTTTCCTTCAGACTGAGTGATCCAGTAAAGCAGAAAGTCACAGAGAAGCCCTGCAAGTTTTGTGTCATTCTCAACTCATCTCTCAGTAATGCTTTCCAAGATGCCAATCAAATTGTCCAACCCCAACAAGTACCCATCCTCCCTGTTGCCTTCTTCCCAGGGGATCCTGTGATCCAGTGTCTGCCCATCAGGGAGAAGGGTGGTCTTTCCAAAATCAATCAGCCACACATTGGCATTCCCACTGCCATCATGTACAAAAAGTAGTGAACTTCCAACGACCTGGAAGACAGATTGAAATGATGTGGTTGAGAACACATCTGTAACTCTTCCTCATCACTTAACACTTCCCACTAAGAAAATTACCTCCTCAGATGACCTTCTAATCTGTGACCCAACAGACTTTTGTGCTTCATTTACACACTGACAATTTACATGCTCCATTTGCATAACCATATCAATCAAGTGATGTGTAGATGAGCAAAGGGACCCAGCAGACAATGGAAAGAAAAGCAATTCTCCAGCTCAGTTGGCAGTAGGTCTCTATTTGAGCTATTCAGCAATATCCAGTGTCTACTTTCAAAGACAGACCATGGCCCATGGTGAACAAAATTGCCATTAGTGACAAGAGGAAATCAACAAGGTAAAATAAAATGTCTGATCTCAAAATCTTGAGCTGTAACAAGCAGAATGTACAATGCTAGTAAGGTCTTTTTCATAGAAAAGCATATAAGTAGAAGATACAGAGCAGACTCATCATACAGTATTTCAACATAAACCCAGTATAACTAATAAAGCATTGTCAAACACCAACTGAATGCTACTGTACCAAAGGCAAGCTTCCATATTACTATTCCCCGTAAAGATTCCCACTAGAACACATCAAGATCAGAGAAACCACAGGAAACTGATACTAATGAACTGTTACCTGCAGTGGCCCAGAGCTATAAGTGCTGGGATTCTATAAAGATGTAAGGATTTACATCATCCCTCAACTGGTTTAAATCTTCTGTATCATTGTGATGGAGTCTTTGTGGTATCTGCGCTGTTAACATACATTAGTTGTCTTCTACTACAAACTCCTTTCTAGTAACACAGCTGTACTCTGAAGTACATCTGAATGACCAAACAAAGCAGCAATTCACCTCCATAGTGTTACACCCACTTCTTACCTCATGTCGCTTGAAGAAGTCTGAGGATTCAAGAATGATATGAATTTCCTGCAGACGCTTGAGGTATTTGTTCTGGAGGAAAAGAAGGCAAAAAAAAACAACCCATAAACATTTAAGTAAAGATTGAATGAAGTTACTCTGTTTGCAAGAGCCAATATAATGAAGAGCTCATGTTATTTTTAGGCTAGAGGTCCTTCAAAACAACAAGTTCATCATTTCAAAGTCAATCTGAAAATACACTTTAAGACGCTTTCATAGTGAACGAACAGGCTGGAGTTCCTCTGCTGGATGTGTTACATGGAGCACTCTCACCTCTCTTGCTCTGGATGCAGTGACATTTTCTGCATCCTTTCTTTCCCCAATCTTTAATAAAAAAAAGAGAAAATAGTCCCAAACAATTGAAATCTTTGCATTCTCCACAGTGAAAAGAGAATGAAATGGTGTTACAAAGAGGAGCCCCAACCAGGGGAGGGAAGGAGGAATAAATAAAAAAACAAGGCCTAATGCATAAAGCTCTAGTGTACATTTTTAATGCATGCTCCTCCTGCAGGGCTGACGTGCCTTCATCATAGCTTCTACATTGCAGCAAAGCACTGTGGGCTCCTTTGAAGTTCCAAAGACAAGAGACACATTATGCCATCTACCATATGCCTGCTGCGCTCCCTGTGAAGTAGCACACAGGAATTGCTCTTCAAGGCAAGTCTCTCACATAGGAGCCCAGCCAGCCACCAATCTCACTTCCTGCCCCCATGCTTTGGTTTCATCCTCTCCAGACTAAATTCCCAAATCATGAATTTTCCTCCCTGCCAACACAATCCTTGCGTAGACATCATCATCCCTCTGATGCATCTAAGACTCATCTAATACCATCTAACTGATGGCAAGCCATAAGTTAGCTTGACTGATCTTTTTCCAGCATGAGGAGCTTGGGGTGAACTCCTGGCAAGGGCTGACAGAATTGGTCTCAGCCAACTACTTCTCACAGCCCACCAAGTTCCCATGTCCACTCCACCTGCTTAGAGGGACTGGAAGTCAAAACCACTTTCTTCCTTGGTAGTTTAATTCATTTTCTTGCACCAGAGGAAACATGGCCCTGAAGCAAGTTCATTGGGTCAAAGAACAGTGACCATGAAGAGTTCAGACTCACCAGAATAGTTGTGTTGCCCTCAATGAATTCCACAAAAACCTGGAGAACTTGCTCCTGTGTCTTCGTAGTTTTGAAGTTTGTGTTACATGTTCCATCCGCCTTCTGCACAAAACCACACAAAGACAGAGATGATTTCTACTACACACGTATCATTCCCCTCATCAGTCGATCCTCCTGAACCATCAACAGCTCAGCTCTTGCTAACCACATCAAAGTGAGTAGTTGCACAGGAAGAGAGCAGATAAAACCGAGCAAGAAGTGGAGGAGAAAAGCCACACGAGCTGATTGGCCAGCTTTAAATGGCAATTCATTTCCTGTTGAGTGCAGTTAAAAACCAAATCATGCTATTACCAGCCTGCAGAAGGGTTTCCTCACGTGTCAGCAAGAGCAGCGCAAAGTTCAATGGGGAAAACCACAGTGACCTCCTTGGTTGTCCTCTCATCTCACTCGGTACAGTCAAACCCCAGCTGGGGATGCAACGGGACATTTTCAAGCCCAGTTTTACCAGTCCTTTCTGTTTGGGTGTTGGGGTTTTTTTCTGGTTTTGTTTTTCAATAGGGAAATCAAAGGATCATGGTTAAGACTCAATTCCCAATATACCTTTGCACATGAATGTGACCCAGAAGTCACAGAACAGAAAGCTAGCTGCAGACAGGGACAACTTGGGATTTGCAGTGCTAGCAGTGACAAAGCACACGTGTGAGAGCTTTGCCAAAGGACAGTGCAGGCTTGCTCTTATCCACGCGGGTCCTGGAGAAATTCAGAGTGTATTTGTACTAGCAGTAAGGCTCAGTACAAAGCACCCTGCTACTGAAAAAAGAGTCGTTTTCCATACTAGCAGTGACCAGTTTGTGCTTGTGGAGCTACAAGTAAATAAGAGCTGTCAACACAGACTACATGAATATGCATTTCCCCAAGAACATCCCTGGTGATTAAAGAGACATAAATACAAGCTTTTAGGACACACATGTAAAATACAGCAAGTACTGCAGCTGATAGCCTGTATCCACAAAGAGCCTGCAAGATTATCAAACTGTATTCCTCCCACTGTATCAGTCCAATGACATCTCTTATTTTCATTGTAAGAGTAAATCAACAGGTCATGCAAATGTGTTCCCTCCTACGTGTTAGAAGTGACTGCACCAGCACTGGTTCAATTCAGCTCCAGTCTCAGCAGGTGAAAGACTATTTACTCCACAGCAGAGCTCAACTCCTAGTATATACCCCAAAAAAATCCAAGCATGCTAAATTTGCAGATTTATCATGCAAGGGAATGAACTGACTGAATGGCAAAGCCATGCAGAACAGCCTCCCACCTACCAGACTTTCTAGCAGCAGAATAAACAGAGTTTTATTCCAAGGCTGTGGGCCAGATACAAGTGTGGCATGTCAGCCTGATGAGATGTGCAAGTTATGCAAGGGAAGTTCAGCAGGTAGGCAGTGAAAGTTGGGAGCCATCTGATCTGAGGTATGATAATGCTCAACAGCACATAGAAATTTGGAACTTGGTCTGATGCCTATTACCTCTTGAGTAAGGTTGTCTGAAAAAAATCATTTCTCCCTGAGACTCAAATACCAGAGCACAGTCTGGAATAGCTGCTGTGTGTTCCCTTTTGATCCTTTTATGTCTGGACAGACTGGCTGCTTGCTTCCCTGTTGTTTAGAAGCGCTTTTATGATTTCCTTCCTTTGCAGTGGTTGGCAGGAAACACAACTGCGGCCTGTCTACTGCTGTAAACAACATCCAGATTCTGAATGGCATCAACCTTTGTATTCCGTACCAGGTCCTCGCAACAGCTCTGGATGTACCCGATCCCCAGGAGGCTCTTGCCTGACTCGCTCTTTGAAGCCACACCTTTGCCAAGGCCTCCAAAGACGTTCCTGCACAGCAGAGCAGGCTGCTACACGGTGCAGACAGTGGGATGATTGCAGCACTTCTCATTAGATGTGACAGTGACATAGCTAGCAGGAGGGCAGCTTTGGCAGCCTACCTATACCTATAGTCCTACCTATCTTAACCTCTATGGTCTTGCTCAGGTTCCTCTGCAGACTTCCCTTACAGGCTCTGGGTTAAGGTCGTGACTTACATAGGCTCACAAAGATTTATGAGTCAATTCTGATGTTCTCCTGGGAAAATGGATATCCCTGATCTACAGTTGAAGGAATGGTACCAAAGGAAGACTTAATTTCCCAAACTGTACAGAGATTCAGTGACAGATTGGAAAGCCAGAACTCCTGGTTCTCATGCATATCTGTTCTGCAGATATTAGCTTAGTGTCTATTAGCTTAGTGTCATAGAGACAATGTTTGTGACCTTGTCAATGTCTGTCACCTTCAGTCAGCCCCTTCTAGAGAGGAAACCTGCATTCTGAACCTGCAAGCACAAGAGGCCGAATCTCAGGTGCCAGCTGTAAGGAAACCTAACGGTTCAAACTATTTTTGGTAAAAGTATAAAATCCCATATATGAACCTGACTTGATTTCAGAGACATGGAAGCAAGGCAAGGCAAAGCGATGAATCAGCCTAAAGAGAAAAGGTACCCCGCTGATGAAGAAGGCTTGCATATAGTGAATCAGATCTCATTTATTGGCAGCCACTTCACAGGAGGGCTTCTATGATTTCATTTTCTTTACTTCCACTTCCTACTCCAGCAGCCACAGGGCAGGAATATTTCTGAATGACCAAACCCAACAAATCTGCTCAGTATCCTGCAGGAGTTCCCAGCGCACTCAAGGAGAACAAACCCTTTTTCCCCATCAACCACTAGCTGGCACCACTGATCCTTATAGGCTCTCCTCTCAAAACTGGGATCTCTGCATGGCTTCGCTTTTCTGCAAATAAACAGAACTGGACGTACAGTTCAGCTACAGTGAAACAGTGCAGGGAGTACTGACCAGCTGCATTACTTCAGCAACTCACTTTCTGTCACCATTTGTCCGTGTAAACAAATAAGAGAATAATACCTGCATCCCTTGTAACAGCACAGGGAGACAGAGGAGAAGGTAATGTTCTGCAGTACTCCAAGCCATTCCTTATGCTTGATCAAGGATTAAGTATGTGTGTCCTGCTTTGCATAGTTACAGCTTTGTCTCAACACAGGAAAACACCATGCAGTCTATGGAACACACTGTTCCTACCCACCTGTGATAATCAACTGACTCACCAAGAACAAGCCAGGAGGTTTTATTGGAGCTTCCCTGCGCTCCCTTAGCTCAGTCACTCTCCAGGACTCAGCATAAACCTGTACATCTTCCACACTGACCAACTATCTTTCTAAGAACATATATAAAAGGTCTCAAGATAATCTGGGTTTCTGATGCCATTACACAGAGCATCAAAAGCCCTAAATAGTATAGGAATAAAACAGGTATCTGGATAACATCATTAGGTGGCTAAAGGGTAATGAAAGAAGTGCCTTGGCTGGACTGGAGCCAGATCATCTGCCACCCAGACAGTTCCTGCATGAGGATGCCTGTATCTAACAGTAAGGAGTGGGTGGTGCAGCGTACTGGGGGCCAGCACAGCATGAGATGGAAATCCTAGTTCCTGTATCACAACAGGAGAATCTGTGAATAAGGAAGGGAGAAGACAACACAGAGAAGCAGAGAAGAAAGGGGTGTTTAAAGATCCTCTGCTCATCAGCATCACCTTCTTTAATCCCTTTCTTCTTCCTGTGTGTTTGAACTATTAAATGGAAGCAAAACTAATGTAGATTATAATTTACAATGGACTAACATACCCACATTAAACATTCATGCTCCAGGAACATCCTGAAATCACACAGGGCAACCCATGCTAACTTCATAGCTGTCCCATCATGGGCTGCAGGTAGCATGTGGGTGGGTTGGGCAGCTCTCCCTGTGCCCTATGCTGCTACAAGTACAGCATTATCCTTACCCCGGGCTAGCTGTGACAGGCCTACACAAGCAGGAAGTTCACTTCTGGATCCAACAAGTGTTCACATGCAAGTGACTGAGCCAGATGGCTGATATGCTGACAGTAGGTCCTATGGGCTTCCAGGTAGGTACCTGACATTGCTACAGAGCGCAACAAATACAAAGAATTAATAGGTAGGAAAGAAAATTGCCAAGGTTCTTCTGTGGCTATAAGGTATATCCTAGGAATGGTATAAGGGAACAAATTTATCCATCATGAACAGGAGATGGACTTTGTTGAAGGAGAAGTTTTAGTTTTGGTTGTTTTGGCTTTTCTCCAGCTCCATCTACACCAGATAACATCATGTACTTAAAAGGCAAAGGGGCTTCCTTGATCCCAAGACTATCTAAGCTAATGATTTTAACATGCCTTGCAAATAAACATAACTGGAACAAAAACACTTTACTGTGACTCACTTGCAATAAATATGTAGAGTTCCTGGATAAAAAAGTAATTTCATGGGGGGGGTGGTTATTTCTTCAGTTCTAAGTTCTTTAAAACAGTCTCATTCTCATTCTATCTATACTGTGTACTTGCCTGAGTCCTTCCTGCAATGTTCCTGTGGCTGAACCAAGTACAGCTGATGTGTACTTGATCCTTAACTTCATTGACACTACTCTGTTATAATTACAATGAGTGTTTTAAAGCCACAACACACTAAAGTCTGTGTTTTCAATTAGTGCATTTTCACATAATCCTCTGGAAGACCTGGCTACTGATGCACACCGGGTTTTTGATCGATCAACAAATCAAAGCTTGGTCTCCAAGAACAGGCAGAAGTGAAAACTATTACCTTAATCCCTTCAATCCTGAAGCCTAGGTTAGCACTAGAGCTGATGGTTTCCCTCCACTGCATGTATCGGGGTTTGGTGACAGCATGCTGAGCATTCTCTTCAGCTGTGGGAGCAAGAGGATCCACTTCAATCATTTTCTTGTACATGTCTTTACGCAGCTTTGGTTTCTCACGGGCCTTAGTCAGCTCTTCCTCCAGGTATGTCCTGCAAAAACATCACACCCCAACACAACTGTAAGGACTCTCCAAATATTTCTTTCTACAACTTACAAACTGGCCTCAAGAAATGGCAACCAAGTAAGTGTTATCATTCCTTCAGCTGTGCATATGGGGAAGTTAAGAACAGAGAAAAATGACTGTGTAGGCCATGGGAATTGTGTCATTCTCTTCTTGTTCTAACTATACCTTTACTTACTATTGTATGTTACCAATAACTCCTGCTTCCAGAATGGGAGAAAGCTGAATTCCTACTGTGCCATGAAACAGAAACTGTCCTTCCAGGGGACTTACAATGAAATCAAAAGCAAACAGAGCTGCTGAAGCCTTCCTGTCTTCTCTCTCCTCAAAAAAACACCCTAACATCAATCACATGTGATTTTTTTAGGCTTCAGAAAGCAGTTAAGGTTTTACCTAATGCATCACAGTGAAAGACAGAATCACTTTTCATATAGCAAAAAAGAGTAAAGCAGATTATCTGAGGAGTTCCAAAACAGAAGAGGTAACTAAGAACAGGAAGGTGAAGGGTGACAAACCTTCCTTACTTTGCTGTTATCACTCAACCTGTTAATCTGGTAACCATTAGAAAGGCACTATCTATGTTCTCTACATTCCAGTGGTCTTCTAAAGGTTGCACTTTGTCAGGTGCCTGGAGTGTACTTTCAACATCCCAGTGTAACACCCAGGGTGGTGGTTAGGAGATGCTGTCAGTCATTACCAGAACGTCATCTACTCGAATAAAATGTGCACTGCTGCAAATCCTTCTCCTCTTTACTCTGTGCATACCAGTGCTACGCATTACTACTCTGATTTAAGATTCTGCATTCTTTGAAAAGGCTTGTTTGCACTCCTGTAAGCTGAATAGCTCATGTATGACAATAACTCCTGAGCATCTGAGCTGGCACGCAAAGAATCACTATGACAGTTCATACTTCTCTGTACTGTTACTCCAGACTGTCAGCAGATCCCTTATCTGTTTGTTATGCTTAGGTTTTTTTGAGGTTTTTCTCTTCATCACAGCCAGGAGAAGGAAAAGAAAAGTGAACAAGGTGGCAGCATTGTAGAGATGTCAGAGCAGGGAAAAAACACAGGTCAGTCCTGAGCAGATGGCCAAGCCTTTTGTTTACAGAAAAGATCAATACCAGTGAAGACTCATTCAAGCATTGGAAATGGGCTTTCACAGTGCTATTCAGTCATTCACATTTGGAGATGGGGGTTTTACTCTTTGTGTTTGAGTTTTGAATCATTGCATACACAAAGGCTAAATGAACTGGCAATGAATGAACCGTGTAATTATTTTCCCCATGTATTATCAGGCCACTGCAGAGAAACTTTGTCTTAAATCACCCCTGAAAACGTCTTGATGTGGAAAGCTTTTCAGGCCGCAGATGAGTTAGTTTCCAAAATCCATGTACCATCAGGGAACACTAGGAGATACCCTCCTCAGGTTGTGCAGTGTTGTCTGCACTGAAACCCAAGGCTCCAAAAATGTTACCAAACTCCTCCAGACAGAGCATAACCACATCCCTTCACCCACTTCCTTCAAATGCGTTTGGGTTAGAAAGCACTTTTTCTTTCAGGGACCTCACCTGATCCCCATCTTGCAGTCCATCACAGAAGGCCCTTCAAAATCAGTAAGCAAGTCATCCAGCTGAATGTAGCTCTCTCCATCTCTCTCCACCACACCATGGAAGCAAGGGACGCAGGCGCGGAGCGGGTCTTTCATCAGTCGCTCAAAACACTCCTTTTCATTCTCTGAGAAGCGTTTGAGTATCTTCCCACTATCAGCTGCCTTGAAACTCCCTGGAAGAGAAAACCAGACACACGCTGACAAGACTGCCCAGCAAAACCAGAAAAGCACCTTCCCCCACCACCCCAGCTTCACCCACCTCATGACACCAGTTACAGATCTCCCCTGACCAGCAGAGACAGCACGCTTTTCATTAAAAATGAAACACCTAGGACAAACACAGCCACTGGCAGTGAAAGTCTATTTGGATACATTCCCATGTCAGAATTCATAGCTTTAAGGAGTGCAGCTGCTCCAGGCCATCTATTTTTTTTTCCCATGCTAAAGGCTTTGTTAGGATATTAAACACGACTCTGCTTACTAAAATGAACAGGAAGAAGCCACGAGCCAGAATTCATTAATCCTCTGACAGGCTTTTTTAAAGCTGCATAACACCACCAGTGCTGGCTTTGTCCCTAATCCTCACAGAGGGTACACCTGTGAGCATGTACGTACCGAGGCAGTACAGTCACACAGCAATCGTCCCACAGCCCCGAACAGGCCAGAAGCCAAGCACTGCCCTTCCTACACACACGACTGCACATCCATGTACCTCCTGGGTACTGCTTCTTCTCTGAGCCTGGCTACACCGCAGGTACACCCTGTGGGGCAATTGGCTTTTTACAACCCTGTGTCTGAATGGTATCCAGTACAAACGACAGCCTGCTCAGGCCGAGGCAGTAATTAGACTCCAGCTAATTCTACTGTAGAGATGCTCTTCTGTCCCGCAACCTGACAATGATATCTGAGGAAGCTACCCTTAAATCTACATGACATAACATAGGTGCCAAAGCAGGAGCTTCCTTAATCCTTGGGCTACTGCTCAACTTCTATCACAGCAGGATCCTTCAACCATAGCAAACTGGCTCTTCTCCGACAAATCCTAGAACTAGCATTGCCTCAGCACAAGGGCGAGCGTGGCAATGGCTCAGGTTTTAGTTTAGAAAGAACTTGTCATATCAGGGGAAAACAGCTGCAAAAAGGAAGGACTAAATGCAACCACAGAAAACTATTTAAAGGAAACTGGAGCAGTATCCCTCCTCGTCAGCATCTCATAACCTCTTAACCCTCCTCTTCCACCCTACTACACCAGCCTCCAGAAGAGTTACTATTACATGTCCAGTGCATCGCTCCACAGAGATCAAGCCAACCCTGCACACAGAGTGATAAAAACTGCAGTAAGAGTAGTCGTTCACCTTGGCACTCTGCATGATACAAGCCAGTCCCACCAATACCATTGTGCAAAATGCAGCTACTCGTTTACTAGGACTAAATAAACTTCTCTGCACAGCTTTGAAGTGCACCATATTAGTGCATTAGCATAATAAAGAGGTGGCTCAGGTACTGCATTACAGCACGATGCAGCGTAGGTGCCTGCCCACATGTGTACTAATAAACCCCACACTAGCACTTTAGGAGCACAGGCTGCATAGGAATTAAATGAAGCACAAGAGAAGCAAAGCTGACGACTTCTCTTTGTTGGTTTTTTCCCTTACCAATGAAACAAAGCTGACATTAGGAGCACAATTACAACATAGAACCAGGGACTGTGCTGCTCCTCATATGCATACAGTGAACAATGACAGGATCACAATGCAAACACCTGGTCAGCAAGTCAATTTGCACCAGATTTGTTTTCCACCCAAGGGCTTACTTTCAGATGAGAGGGTTTGAGATTGGTATTAGAAACACCGTCCTTACCAGTGATGAAGCACATACAGGCACAGACAGTGATCCTTCCCACCAGGGAACTAACACTGGCTACTCAGTCAAGAAAGATGATCCCATACCACAACCAACAGCAACAGATGGACCAGGGCTTCAGCTCCCCAGTCCCTCTTGCTTACCCTCTAACAAATACTAGCTTACAATGATGCATGGGGAGCCTGGCCCTTCCATAGAGCTTGACCATTGCTTCCCTGCTCCTCTCTTTATTCATTCTTCCCTATCCCCACCACAACCGAAAGAAAGATGTTCTGGTTCACAGATTTAAGTGATACTTCCTCCTTCCTTTTCCTTGAAGGATGGAGACAGAGGTAACACTGAAACACTGTTTTCTTTGCTGTTGCCATCCCCACTCCAAAGGCAATCACACTGAAAACACGGGTCTCACCTGTATGCCCAGCCAGCTGCACCCACGAGTAGCGTTTCTTGAAGGGGCTGATGACTGGTAAGTTAACCATGGTTTTAATTGTATGCCATGCTTTTTTCTGGAATACAAAGGAAAGAAACATTAAATTGAGCAAAAGCTGAAACCCTGACATATCCCAAACCTGCCACATACCTCCACGCACATTGAATTGTTCCTTCTCACTTGTACGTGCTCAAAGGTGGAACCAGAAAACAGACACAATGATCCTTGTTGGAAAAATACACACACAAACCCAAGACTGGACAAACACACACATAATGTCCTACCATCCACAAGAAAGCTGCCTGCAAGAAATAAAAACCCCATCACACTGCACGTCACAGGCCTGTTCTGAGCCACACCTGACCCTCTCTGAGTCACACAGTATGTGGGCAGCAGACGCTGAACACACGCTTACACACATTTAAGTTTCCATGAGACATGAACACAAGCTGTTTGCCACTGCCAGCAGCACTTCCTTTCCCAGGGAACTTCAGCATCACCCCGTGATTAACAGCTTTCTCCCAGTCAGCAGGTGAGTCTTACTGTGACAGACGCATAGAAACTGCATCTCTAGTTGGACACGGAGGTCCCTCAGCACCCATTGACACTGATTCTACAGTGTGCTGCAGAATCTACCCTAGGTCAGGGATTTTCCTGCTCCCTCCCCTCTTTCCCAGCCTCGTTACTCTTTAACAGAGCTGGGCACTGCTGTGGGTATCTTTGGCTGCCACACAGTGCAGCTGTGCGGGTACCGCTGTGGGCAGACAGGGAAACCGAGCAGCTGCTCACAAACAGCACCGAGCCCTCTGCCACAGTGGCAGAAAGGAGAAAGAAACATAGAAAGTAAAGAAGTCTTGTGCTCTGGAACTGAAACCCGGGTGGGAGAGAGCCACAGCCCAACAGCACGGGTGTCACACAGTGCGGGGTCCCAAAGTGCCCTACAAACAAGGCCAGTAGCTCCTTTCTTCTGACACTAGAACACGATACCTTGCTGGGGAAAGTAACGGGGCTGCACAATACTTGTGCACGACAATTTAGCACTGAGGGGTTTTCTACTGGGATCAAGTATAGCTGGGGATTAGGCTGCATTTACAGAAGTGGTTATCAACAGTCTAACTAACTGGCATTCACCAAGATCAATGGAAGGCATTGATTTCACTCAAAACAAGTTTAGGTCACCTGAAAAATCAACATTTAAAACCACCATGTCTTCTCTAACACGTGTATTGATACGATCGATGATTGAGGTGCTTAGGACACCTGATTTTTATTGTCTTCTTCTACAGAAGTAGAAAAGTAACAAATGGTGAAATTGCAGGTAATGATACACAGGCAAAATGCAGCTCTCCAGATCACACTGTGACCTGGCCACCCTTCCCCATACTGGGTCACTTGTACTACATTTCTTATAAGGTATCCTCTAGTAATGTTGGTCACTGGGAGGGCAAAACCCTGCAGCTAACTTAGAGTGCATCACAAGGATATGTGCACTCACAGGCACAAGAGATCTTTCTTTCAAGGATTTCTCTTCACAAAAAAGTTTTAAATTATATGCAAATTAAACTGACATAATTTACTGTTAGGGTGGTGAGGCACTGGAATGGGTTGCCTAGGGAAGTTGTGAATGCTCCATCCCTGGCGGTGTTCAAGGCCAGGTTGGACAGAGCCTTGGGTGATATGGTCTAGGGTGAGGCATCCCTGCCCATGGCAGGCGGTTGGAACTGGATGATCCCAAGGTCCTTTCCAACCCAAACTATTCTATGTTCTATGAGCATACTTATTCTGAAATAAGATCACTTCTTCGTATTTCACTTTGGTTTTGAATGCCATTTAAGCTGAAATGAAGTCACTCTTGGTCTGATGTAATTGCCCATGCAGCAGTAATACTTTTGAAAACATATTGCACCAGTGAGAGGAAGCATCCAAAAATGATCCTGGATGTGTGGAAATCATGAAGACTCTGTTGCACTTACTGCAACTCCAGAGATGTGACTAGCTCTAAGTAAACCCCAGTTTCATAAATACTTCTGCATGTTTAAACAACCCTTTCATACTCTTTGTTATTTGCTTTACATCATTCCAAACTGCAAGCTTGCAGTGCTAAACAGCAACTTGGCTCTTTCACAGAGCTAGCTGCTGTTGACTGAGGATGAGAAGACTCTTGTACACCACTTACAAATGTCCACAGCTTCCTTCTGGAGGAAAGTGCAATAAAAATATTGTTATTCAAGTAGCAAAGATGAATTGCTTTCATATCGTTTATGTGCCAGATTTAACCAATAGCAGAAGCCCTTCAGTCTACTCTGCTGTTTCTACTCCAGAGGGACACAGGCCTAAGTTATTTATAGAGCAGCTGAAAGTAAACATCATTCTGAATTAAAATGACCCCAGTTAATGTAATTCCTGCCAAAGACTTTAGTTTGTGAGGATTCCAGTCCAGCTTTCAGAGTAACACTGCTTCTTCCCCATCCCTTACTCAGAAGTCAGCACTGTTCCATAACTCTCCAATAAAGATCTTACTCATCATAATGTCCCACTCCTAACAACTGCACCCTGTTTCCCTATGAGCTGTCATAGTTATCTCCAGAAGTGATGAGAAGCAGAGTTTTCAAGCAATGCACATCAACTGTCAATGCAACACCACACTCCAGAGGCTTTCCTGCCTCCTCCCTCCTACCCAGCCCTAAGGAGCTGCAGCTTCTATTTGTACTGTGGGTGTGAAGAGGAGACAATGGGCTAAAATCAGCCCCAGCTCAAGTGGACTTTGGCTGCTTAGGTTACAGCTGCCTTGGTTAAGGATGTTTAAGCTACTTATCCAATAAACAGACACTGACAATTCTTATTTATTATTTTCAATAACCTCTTTATAAACTCCTCCTTTCCCCCCCCTCCCCGCCCTATCCCCAGCACAGGCAAAACCTAGGGCTCAAGCTAAGAGGGCAAGGACTGTTTCGAGACCCATCCCACACTTTCCCCTACTGCAACTTCCAGTCTCCCCAGACTCACTCAACTCGGGATGCAGATTGTCAGGATGCAAACAGGGCTGCATACTGTTGGAGCAGTGGTGTGAGTGGGAAGATGAAAACTTTGTGTGCCTGCTGTAGGAGGAATCTTTCTCACTTCTATTTCTAAAGCAAGATCTCTTCCTCTTTGTTAGCAATGGTATTATGTGCTTTCCAAATCACTGATTTATGCTGCAGTGGCAAAGAGGGCTGCTATCACTGCCTATCTGTATTTGTATCTTCCTCACACACTGTTGCTTCTGGATTCCTGCTTAATCTTCCTTGACCTTTTGCTCTGCCTGGGTTTCTCCAAGCTCTCAGGTATTTCCAGATATCCAACCAGTGAATGTTACATATATTCAGAGAAAACTCAGGCATCTCTGTATCAGGATTGCCTGAATCAGATGCTCTTGACATCATTGATGCTGTTTCATATGCCTCTTGAGATCAATATACTTAAAGAGTTTTACAATAGGAAAAAGGAAACCATTCCAAAAGCGCCAAGAGGCAAACATGAGAAATCTTAACATCCTTAGTTAGATTCAGCAACTGTAACTGCTACACTCTACACATCTCCCTAAGCAATAAAAAGTGTGGGATGCTGAAGAGGGGAAAAGCTTGCTTCCTGCCAATGGGTCAGCCTATGTGAGGGGCTGTGCCACCAGAACCACGTCCCTGGTAGCAAAGGAACAAAGAAAGCAGGGGAGGGAGCAGCAGAACTGATTCCCACAACGCAGACACATAGTATGCAAAGGACTGTGGCTTGGTATCTGACACTGATCTGCGTTATCTGGATTACACTTCTGAATCACACTTCTGAATTTGAAGCACAGTACTGAAAAGAAACATACATCCCTGCAGCAGATGTGGGAAACTTGCTCTGTGTTAGCACTGGCATATGCAGACAAGATACTGGCCAGATGAGGCATTCCCAAACTGTTCAACCCTCGATAAAGCTAGCTGTTGCCATCATGTCTACTCAATAAGAAACAGCAAAGACTAGCAGTAACTGAAGGCCACCACTTTCTGCAGGCTTTCTCCAGGTCTTTTCTCATGATGAGGCCACAACTTCACATGTGGCTAGAATGCAGAAGCACAGCCATGATGATCCTATCCAAACACATCAGTGGGCCTTGGCTGAGAAAACCCACTAAACTCACTGGGAGACATTTCATCCATTTTAAGGGGCTTGGGGTCAAGCCTCAAGAGCTTAGTCCCCAAGATTTATCCCCAGGAACAGCAAGGGTTTCCTGAAACTCTCCCACCATTTCAGGACAAGGGCTGTAATATCCCAGTAGCCAAGTTCACCGAATGGATTAGTGCAGACTCCTTGAACTGGGAGGGGGTGGGTTGTTTTGGTTGCTGCTGTCATTTTACAGGCAATGTAGAACAGTCGACATTTCTCTCCGAGCACATGCTGAATCCCTCAGGGACATGAGAACCACTCTGATCCCTAAGGGCAATGGGGAACAGGGATTGAACCTTCCTCTGCTGTTCTGTGGGAAAATACATAAAACCTCTTCCTTTTTTAAGGGTAAAATCATAGAATCCTAGAATCATAGAACAGGGTTGAAAGGACCTTAAGATCATCCAGTTCCAACGCCCCTGCCATGGGCAGGGACACCTCACACTAAACCATGTCACCCAAGGCTCTGTCCAAACTGGCCTTGAACACTGCCAAGGATGGAGCATTCACAACTTCCTTGGGCAACCCATCCCAGTGCCTCACCACCCTCACAGTAAAGAACTTCCTCCTTATATTCAGTCTAAACTTCCCCTGTTTGTTTGAACTCGTTACCCCTTGTCCTATCACTACAGTCCCTAATGAAAATAAAAAATGAAATAAAAATGAAATAAAATGAAAAAACAAATAAATATCTCAGTTCTATGAACACCTTAAACACATAATTACCCTCAGGCAAGCACTGACAAATAGGTAACATACAGAGGAATTTGCAGGATTGAGTCCTAAGTGAAGCAATTGCAATAAATAAAAGCACAGCTAAACTGGGGGGAAAGGAAGAAGGGAAGGTAAGAAAAACTTTTTCTTCAGGAAAGAAAAAAGTCTATCAGT